CCCCAAAACCCCAAAACCCCAAAACCCCAAAACCCCAAAACCCCTTTAGTCCAAGCTTCCAATGAATTATAAGAATTATTTAAATAAATTCAAAAATAAATGTTCTTGACTGGCCAGCTATTCCCTCGTCCCTGGGATGAACCAGAAGAGCCCATTGTTGTTAAAAAAGACACCCAGAAAGACATGAATGAAGGCAAAGGAAATACTAATAGTTTCTATGACTCTAGTAACACAGTAGTAAATATGTGGAATAACCCTGCAAGGGCCTGCAAATAAGGTCAAGACCTTCTATCATGATAAAGAGAAGTCCTTTAAAGAAAACACTTATACTGACCAAGAAATCACCAACATGGATAATGAGGAAAGAGACAAACTGAGAAAGGTAACTGTCCGCTCATCTGTAGATCGTCCTCCAACGAATGAGGTACCAAAGCCTCGAGAGAGTCCACAACCGTAAATTAGAACGAGAAGTTTTGCAGTACAAGTCGAAGCAGCCTCTGTCGTCACCCGAACAAGCAGGTAGGCCAACTGGTTATTTTAGAAATGATGGCTCACCAGGAACCCATGCTGTTCGAAGAACTTTCATTGAGAAGGTCCAACAACTATTTAAGTTTGAACAATCTGTACATGACTGGGTCAACCAGCAACAAGTACCCAACCAAACTCCCAGCTAAACAACTCAAGCAAGTGATCACACCCAAAGTTCTCAAGATGGACAGACAAGGCTGTGATAACATCCTCAGCGCCTTCGATGGCATGACCGGTGGCGCCCATGGAGGTATGCTCTTTCTCATGTGTAGAGCCCGACTTCATCAAGTACTGGGTCCAAGAGAACAGAAACAAGACTCGCCAGAAGTTCATCAACAGACACGAACAGAACATCCAGCGAGAGAGAAAGGCCGGCATCTACAAGCCTTACCAGACGATCAGCCAGAGAGCCCACAAGAGAGGAGCCACCAGAGACACCAGGAACATTCCGTTCACGACCCAAAACCGAAATGTGGTAAGAATGTTAGCTTAACAAGGCCAGGAGTCGATGATTCTGTCGATTTGGAGTCTGATTTCGTTTTTCCTGTTCTGTCTGTTCACGATGCTTGTGTTCAGTTTCTTGACAGCTACACAGTCAGCCAGCACTCACCATCAGCAGCCACCCGACCTTTCAGTCTGGCTTTGTTGCTGCTCAGCTTTCTCAGCTTTGTTGAAGCAGCAGCTCTGGAGCCCTTGCGAGTGCTCCCAAGTTTGCTATAGTTAGGATTTGTGTGCTTTGACTTGGACACTGACTTAGTTGGAGCTGTTGTGTCTGGGCTTGCTAAAGGTCAACTCAGCTTACTGTGGTTTCGTAGAGTCTTGAAGTCCGGCTTTGAGTCAGGCTTATGTTTGTGTGCATTGGCGCCAGACCAGCCTTGTTGAAAATGCACTCGGGGAGGACACGAAACGACTTTACCTACACAAGCATGAGCAAGTACTTACTTGTTGGCAGTAACACAGGCAGAGCTTTGGTGGTGAAAGCTTTGTTGTTATGAGTGGCCTTATAAACATTGAGAGAGGATTACTTTGTAGAAGGTGGACGCCAACTTATGTTTGATGTTGGATAGTTCATTACTTAAGTGGTTGGCTCTGTCAACAGTATTTTTGGTTGATATTTGTAAAGAAGTAGAGTCAAGATGTGGTAGCTGAGACTTATACAAATTAGCATGTTCACTTCTTTTAGACTTTTGTATTTTAGAAAAATCAACAATCTGCATACTATTTTTCTTCCTAAACCTGAGACATATCCTTACTTATCACTATTTAGCATAATATCATTATATTTCTCCTTAGTCCCACTTCTCTTCTTAATCCTATCAGCTACCAAGAACTTTTGTGATGTTTCATCTTGAGATTTGATCATACTGTAGTTCTGAAATGTCTTCTCTTGCATTAACTCTTCGAAGGGTACTCCTGCTGACCACATATTACTTGCACCTTCCCATCCTAGAGTCCTATTTATTCTTAGCAAATTTTAATTTCTCATCACTTTGTTTGTATCTATTGCTCATATTCTTCAGACCCTTCTTTATTTCAAAATCGAATTGACTTTCTTGCTTCTGAACCTTGTTAAATTTGTCAAAATCTTTCATTTTATTTTTGAATTTTGTTCATGCTCTTCCTGATACTGGACTCATCTAAAATAAGCCAAAGGTATACTCATTACAGAGACGTTCTCTTGAAGGCTGTGGAACTTTTTATTCCTGGTGTATCTCTTACTACACATGCTACCTAGATCTTACGGTTTTAAGTTCTTAGTCCTGCCAAGTTTGAAATTGCCATGCTTCTTATGGTCAAATGTAATAGAGTCCTACTATTTAGTGCTAGGCTTACATTATCGATTATCTTCAGAGCATCGAAGAAGTGTTCGTCGATTTCTCTGAGAGCTCAATTTTTCCTAGCTTCTTTACTATCACACTTTAGTTGTTGGATCCCTTTGTTCAAGCTTAGCTTCAAGTCAAGCGTTTCTTTCATCTGATTGAGTTCATTGGGAGCTAGTAATTTTGGATCGTATTGATCTAGATTTGAGAAGGAATAACCTACCGTATCCTATTTTGTCAGGTCTTGAGATTTCTTCCATTTTATATAAATTAGTTTAAAATTAATAAAATTTATTTCGAACTAAATTTTAGCCAGATTCATAATCATTTGGGGAAATTATAAGCTAAGTTCATTCTAGATCAGCAACAGAAGAACAAGCAATAGTACATCCAATAAGAAAGGTGTCTTCTTGCATGAGGACGCTGAGGTCAGGGATGGCAATATCGTAGGCTCTACAATTAGCAACCAAGGTATGCAAGGAGGCTCTGAAATAGGGTCCTCAACCTTTTGAAAACGTTAAAGTTTCGAACCTGATTTATAATTCTAGAGGCTTTATTACCCTCATTTTAGCTAAAAATTCTTGTTTTAATATATCTTCTTTAGAATCCCACAGACAGTCTGATTATGGAGACATTCAAATGGATGACCAAATTGACAACTATGAAACTGTTGATAGAAACCAGATTGAGGAAATCAAGGATATTTATAGTGAAGAAGGTCAGTGTGAGAGTTCATCAGGCTCCCCAAGCTTAGACTCGTTCTCGATACCTCTTTTGATTCTTATTTTCAAATTCTAATTAGAAGAGAAGAATTTGAATCCAATCTTCTTCTTAATTATTCTAACCCAATTTAGGTAAAGAAAGCGATCATCTCTACCAAGAAATAGATGAGAGAGAAGGCACTAGATATGGCATGGAAGCAGGCGAGACTGGAAATCAATTTTACGACAGTGCAAATGACAATGCTCAGAATGACCCTGACCCCCAGAACACAAGAAGACAAGCTCTAAATGAATTCAGGATCTGATACGCTAGGCCTAAATTTCCAAACAGAAACCCAACTACAGAGAGACTAGCTCAGCCAAAGAAAGAGCCAGTGGTGACAAATCCCTTCCTCTATTCAGATTTCAGAGGAATGCTCCATGCTGATTGTCAAGAAGCTATCGAGAACTTGGATGTCAACCCAGATTACCCCAGAAGTATGTCAATGAGCAAAGGCTTTGCCCAGGGCCATCCTTCACAGACAGGAACGGGCATAAATCTCAAGGGGAGAAAGAAGTTCTCAGAGTCAGTCAAGGAGATGTTCCCTATGCCTGAATTCAACAGCTATCTTTCAGATCCTACTAAGAAGAAGGATAGGATCAGAAAGAGAAAACCTCATACAGCTGCTATTGGATTTAGAAACAAGGGAACTCTCAACACCAAGGTATCTCACTGTTTTAATCTCTAGGAGGAAAAGACTCTTCCTTTAGTACAGACTCAACAGGAGATGGACAATGCTTCTGACATGATGTCCAAGCCTGTCTTTTCCCAGTTTGGCACCACTAATCTTAACAGAGCCCGCACTTCCCATATTGGACAGAGAAATATGTCTTTCAAGCAAATGGAAGAAGAGAGAAAAGAGATTGAGGACATTCAGTCAGCCATGAGAGATCTAGAAGACATTGGTAATTACACTCTTTCAGTTATTGTTTAACACTCTGTTTAGACCAGAGAGCCGACAAGCACAGAAAGGACGTAACCACAAAGAGAGGATACCCCAAGATTACACTTGTATCTGACCTGAAGAAGTTGGATTCAGCCTAAGTTGCATAATTCATTAAGTTTTGCTCAATATTTAAACCAAAACAGGGGTTTTGGGGTTTTGGGGTTTTGGGGTTTTGGGGTTTTGGGGTTTTGGGG